TGCGGCAAACACACAAATATTATTGTCGTAGGTAGTTCTGTCACTTTTTTACCTCAGACGAATAGATTCTAGTATAATGTTTTTTATAGTTTTTTCAATTTCTTAGCAGCCTGTATAAAACCACAACTTTATATGCACTGGAAGCGCTGTTGTAGACTCACGAGGACATCGGCATAATGTGTGAACACTGAGTGCACTGTGATTGTCATGGTCAGCAGGTAGTATAAGATCCTCCCGATCTAAAATCGGGGGTAATTACACACACTTCCCAAGCTACAGGTTGTAATAAAATGAACTCCAAAAACGACAATTCACACTTTTTTCTTTTTCTTCGGTTGTATAGAAGAAAACATATTTACCTACAAAGACAATTAAATCATTCGCTTCGTATGCTTTCTTGCACATTAAATTTCTTTTACAAGTAATACGTTCTTTCACAATAGAAGCGTTATTTGAAACAAACATTCAAGAGAATTTGCAGACAAATATAAAATAAAAGTGCATTTCGCCAATGGCAATATTAGAACATATCCTCAGAGCTCCACCATAAACATAATTTCTGGATATTATAAAGAAGAGCAATCGTCAAGAAACTGCTGTGCAGAAACGAAGCGTTTCTAGAAAAGTGAGAATAGAAACATTCGTTCAACTAATTGAGAAGATGGTGATGCATTTTTTTCAAATAAAATGACTCGCCCAGATCATTGGAAGTGCCGCAGATCGCTATTCTGCCGTTGCTCCCTCGTTTTCTCTTTACATACATCGTAATGAGCCGCGTCGCAGAATATTTGTCCTGAATAACCCTACCAGCTATAAATATCAATGGACTATATTTTAAATACTAATGAATCGCATCATACCAACACTTATCACCGAAAACTATTCAGGAATTTGACACAGCTATTGACTCCCTTGCACCCACCACATCCCACTCGATATACAGACATAACAGCTCATCCAGAACACTAACGTAACTTATCCATCATCTATTCCACCATTGCTATAAAGGCTAAAACTATGCCCCCAAAGATATAAACTAAATCAGAGGCAAAACAATCAGTCCTTACTTTTTAAATTATTACTAAATCAACTCGCTAAATAAAATAGTAAGACACGTTCTGGCCATAATTCATGCTCAAGACCTTCACTTCCAAACACTACCACTAGCTAAAATTATCACACGCTGTGAAATTTCACTAAAATATAAATACGCTGCTGAATACACTTCCTTCAGAAAACCCACTGCAAGATACTTTCATCTTCGAAGAACTTTGTCGAACTAGAATAATGGCTCCAAAATATCAAAAAAAAATAATCTTTTCCATTGAAGTAATTGTGAACCATGTGTGACCTGACCCTAAAAGTTTCCAGTGATCCGGATGCAATTCCAACCTACTTTCTTAAACACCTACCATTCAAAGCTATAATGCATATCATAGCAATCTTCTATGTCTCATCGTCTGTCCTACTTTCATCGCAAAAGGAAACAGGCACGTATCATGCCTATTATAAAACGAGATAAACCAAAAAAAATGTTCCACCAAGTCCCAATTAGTTCCATATCCTCGTTGAGAAAGTTCTTTGAAAAATGGATCCCCAACAGGTTAATCGCTTATCTGAATTATAATCAAGCCATATCACCAGATTAAATGGCAGTTACAATCACTTATCTTCTCAGACCATCAAATATTACGCCTACCAGAAGACATCATCTGTGGATTTTACGAAAAGAGACCCATGACAGCGATATTTCTTGTCAGCCAAAGCATCTGACATCTAGGACTATTATTCAAATATGATATCAGTGCCTCTACAATATCATGCATGCATCATCGACTAATTGAGTTAATATTTCGTGTTGCCAGACGCATCAATTACAGTGCATTTGTCTCGTACAAGTTATATTGCGGTAAATGGCACTGTTCCTTTTCCCGCAAGAACGTGAGTTGCTGCACCGACCTACACGATGGCTTAGGGGCTTAGGTATCCTTCAGTAGGAGACCGCTCCAGTCGGGACAGACTTTACGTCACCGCTGATGTCGGGAGATGTCCCGGAGCTTAGTATTTGAAAACTGTGTGTGTGGGCAAGGCGAGAGGAATGAACAACGACGAGGAAGTAAACATCTCACGCGGTTCGTATCCCGTTCTTTGACAATCAGCTGGTATTGATTGGAGAAACCACGAGAAACTACTGACTAGAGCAGCCGGCAATTTCAGACGGTGATTGAATTCGACCTACCTAGCTATTCGAGCTACCTAGCTAGACCCGCTATTGTCAAACATTCGCCGCCGTCAGGTCTCTAACCTGAGGACGTGCATTCCGCGTCTCTGCAGGGAGCAAAGGCGATTCTGTTTCATCCAACCTAACCTTTGTTCTATCATATCATCGACAGCGTCATCCTAGATCACTTCTTTGCAATCCCTGAGGCTTTTTCATCGCCTTTCACAGTACATATTGAGGAGTAATCTGAAGAAATTTGGACCTTATGATGCTCCTTGATGAATAATTCCCTACTGGGAGAACTCAGGGCATCAACTGGTATCATTGCAGTGCCTCTGACTTGGAGGTCCTAAGTTCGAGTCCAGACGGTGACAGGATTTTACACACTACCTTGCCAGCTAGGTCGATTTCAGTCGCTGTTTGGAGGAGAATTGTAGCGGCCGTGTACTCTGATCGGTAGTTTTCCGTGGTTTCTCCGACCAACACCAGGCGAATGCCGTACCCTAACAAACGGGTCACGGACCACGCGCGATCTTTCTTCCCTCTTCTTTGTCCTATCTTCAACCCTTACGTACACTTACACAAACATGCACTATACATGTCGGGAGCTTAGAGGCGAGGCGGTGCCCCGCTGATGAGCGATACTTGGTAGGGAAAAACGCAGCTAGCCGACGGTTCGCCGGTACTGGATTTCACCATCCAGGGGGGGGGAAGATCACCGCCACCTCACGATGGGTAAAACACGCACTACATTTACGGGACTAATGACCTTAGCCGTTCACGCTCCCGGAATCTCTGATCAACCAATCCATAACCCGTACATTTGCGGCAGCGGGACTGGATCCCGTCCGGCGAGCAAGAAGCCGGGGCCGGCGGCGCCCCTGCGGAGCGTTGCGTGCTGAAACGCGTCCTTGCCGCTGCGCAGCGCCGCGCCGCGCCGCGCCGCGCCGCGCCGGTCCTCGCCCCACTGACCCCGCGCACGCGCACGCGCGTTGGCCCTCGGCTTCCAACCGCCACCGCCTCCGCCCAACGCCGCTTTTCGCACGAGCGCAAATGTTCAACTACTTGTTCCACGAGCGTTTATAACCAAGATTTTTTTGCTTAATTTATTATGTTTGCATAAACTATATGGTCATGAGCGACCCCATTGTTTTTACAAAATATTAACAATATTTGAAGCAAATAACTATTTACAAATGATATGAAAAACACATACTATAAGTACAAATATTACAAAATGGTACAACGAAGGTTTTTTGTGAGGGCACGTGGACATTTTTTATGTGACAATGTTCTTAAACAGCTGGTTTCCGTTTTACGTGAGTCATTAGAACATATAACACCTAGCTAACTTCACATTAGCTGTATTCAATGCGAGGTAACTCCCTCTAGAATTATCATTGTATCTTTCGGTTTTCGTGAATGGAATGATAGAATATTACGAAATACTTCAGTTACACTACGATTTAAATACAGTGGCACACCAAGGTCACGAGCTGGAAGGAGAGAGGGACATTGATATCCAATCATGAGCTCTAACTCCAAAAATTTGAGATGTAACGATGCTCCTGGTTGGATGACAGTGCCCTCTTCACCGTCCAGCGCGTGACCTTGAAGTGCCACCGAGTTTAAATTTTGAGTATATAAATGTTTAAATCCGTTGGGCGAGAAAATGTTTTATGGGCATTGAATTGGTCCTTCAGAAATCTGGATTGTATTATATTTTGGCTGAAGGTCTTTCTAATTGACAATTACGTGTGAGTGAGAATGTCTGTAAGGCAGGAGTATTAATATTTACCTGCACAAAACCATGTTTACCGGACTTTTTCTAGCAAACCACCAAGATTTTAACTACGTTTATATACTTTATTGCTTATTATTTTTTCACGATTATTTTCCTTGTAAAATCTGCCTTGTCTAATCATTTTTCCAAAGCAGCTGGAATTGAATTGAGTATTTTTCTATTTTATGTTGTATTATGTTTTATTAAATGGTTATGTCATTTACTGTAAGTAGCAAAAATGTGAAAAAATTAAGAAGTATCTATGTAGCCTATCTCCTGATGACTAGATGACAACTAGATGAGAGAGTTGAATCTGCGTATTGTGGGTAGATCAAATTTAATTAATTGGTTATAAAAAGCTAACCATTGTAATCTTGCTATAAATCGAAGGATCTTATTCTGGAAAGACCAAAGCGGTTTTAGTACAGTACAAGTAGCATACATCAAAACACCTATGGAATTGATTGGTAGGTGTATTAACTTCCAACAGTATCGTTTTATGAAACAAATAATATTTCTTTGTAATTATCTTAAAATAGTTCTGCCAAAACAAGCCACACAATAATTAAATTTAGATCATTCTAAATTTATATCAAAATTACTTATGTTAATTCAAATTATTTGTTACATTTCGCATTGAATCTAATTACGTCTTTAATCAAATGAAAAGGGTTGAAAAATTGATAGAAGCATTGAACATTCATAATTGTTACTATGACGTGCTGTACTTGGCATTCTTGTGAATAGTGACTACACTAAATTCTCGTTAACACGAATTCTAAGAGATTGAAGTAATCGGTGTTCCTGTTGTAAAAATGAGATTATATTACAAAATTGTGTAGCTACCAGGATTATTTATAAGGACATGCCTTACTTTACCTCGAATTCGTGTTGGTCGTAATGTCGAACATAATATTATCACATGAAAGGAATAAAATTCTGAAGTCATTTTATTTATCTCCTCTTCCACCGTGGACACAAACAACGCTTCATCTCATGTACTTAATTGGGCAGGACGAGTACCGTTTGTTTTTTTCGCTCCAGGCAAGTGGAGGATCACCAGGGTCTTGGGAGAAAGCTTACGCAGGCCGTCATCCGTTTTTACTGTTTCAGGCAGACCCCGCAGGGGCAGCTCCGAGCCGGAATTTGTTCGGCGCCTTCTCCCGGCCGGCGTCATACGGGCCTCCTCAGCTGCAGTATTGCTCTTGCAGTATGTATACGTTATTATTATTATTATTATTATTATTATTATTATTATTATTATTATTATTATTATTATTATTATTATTATTATTATTATTATTATTATTATTATTATTACTATTATTATTATTACTATTATTATTATTACTATTATTATTACTATTATTATTATTATTACTATCATTATTATTATTCGAATATGTATACATTGTTTAAATGTTGGAGATATAAAGTGAATTAAATGGTCAATTTACAAGTAATAATATAAAAAATATCATTAGATTCTCAAGGAACAAACTTTATATATTGTATTCTTAGTCACTGTGCAATGTTGTTTTCATCATCGCTTACTAGCTCCAGGATTTTTAAGCTCCCTCACAGTTCTGACTCAGAGCAAGTAACACCTGCCTGTTCATTGAGAACTTCCTTGTTCGTTGTCCACGTTTCTTCCCTCTATTCTCAATATTGTCAGTCATTCTATTTACCATTAATTCCATGTGCGTGTGTCAAAATATGGTTTATAAAATCAAAAAAGAAATATAAGACAGTATTTTGTATTTTATTTTGAAAACAGGAAATTGGTTAAGGATAACTTATATTTGACAATGGAATCAAATCTTTTTTTCGACAAACAAAATGAGCTTCCACTAACATACCACTGCTGTAAATACAGATGACTGCAATTATACTGCACGTCTGGAGTCTAACATTTTTGAGTGACTAATATGTGAGAATCCCTGTATCCGAGAATATCAAAATTAAACAGAATTTCTTCATAACAATTGATTTCATTAATGTAGACATATAGCAAACTACATTAACAGCACAAACTGAAAATTTCAACATCTTAATTTGTCCTTAAAAATCAATTTCTTTTCAATTATTTGCTTCGTACTTTTTCTATTAGTAATTTCTCTAGATCCTTCTCCACAATTCGTGATTTCTCCATAATTTATTCTATATGGTCTGTGTCTAAGTTTCTTAATGAGGCCTTTCTTCTGAAGCCCCTTTTAGTCGCCTAATAATGTACGAAATGCTTCCGGTAGCGGGATGGCGCACGTGGATAATGAAACAGATCGCTTTTCCGTGTGGCACGCCGTATATCACCAGGTTGTGGTTCCCGTCGCCTAAGTAGAACTCAACGCGCTTTGTCCCGCGGAATCTCAAGTAACACCAAGATTGATGCTGAAGTAAGCAATCGCGCGTCGCCGCCGCCAGTTGCAGCGCAACACACCACGCAGGACAAGATCTTCGTTTCCGCTGTGAAACTTAGTGGCATAATGTCATCAGAATAGTGCCTGTTCCCTATCCCCTACCTCCTCCCCAAGGGACACTACTTTTATTATGGCCTTTGGCCAACATTTTTTCAACTGCCTAGTGGTGGAATTTGTGGCACTGAGGCCATATATTCTTTTCCAGGACTTGGTATTTCCTACGTTCACTGTAGCCGCGTTTCAGGTTCACTATAACCAAGTCGTCTTATTCCTATATGTAAGTGACGGGACCATTGTCGACTTACGACAACGGGACCATTGTCGTTAGTTCACTATAACTAGGGTTCACTATACTCGAGTTCACTATAACCGGAGTCGACTATATTAAGTAATCAATTTTGAAACACGCATAACTGGAGTACGAGATTGAAATGGTGCCTATGTCTTGCAGATAAACAACTGGTTGAACAATTGAATGCCTAATTTCTATATTTTGTTACATTATAACTTACTATCACTTTTTTGGGCAATAGTCGTTGGCCCTTTACGTACACCTTTTCAGTGTCGGTACACCGAAGTCTTCGTCTTCCCGCCCTTCGCTATAAACCTGTTTGTCTTTCATTGTTCAACAATTTTTTTGTTAGAGAATATACATTCAAGAATTATTATTTATTCGCTATTATTATTTATCCCTTTCTTCTCTCACAGGCTGCAGATATAAACATTTCATTTCAGCTGATTTTGTTCCACTCCTGTTGAAGGCGGAATAAAGTACACGAGGAGGTCAATATTGGTCATATTTACACAAAAAATATATTTTCCTCCTAAAATAATTTATTGGTCATGGACGAAATTGGGCCATATGGCCTCCTCTTCATCTTCTTTAGATAGTTTTGGAAGGCATTTAGAAGATATGATAGAAATATTAAGCATGCATCATTCAATACTTGTCAATTGTATACGACCCTTATTGTACGGCGTTGCAATAGCACTGGTTCGAGGTTTAGTGACCGGTGTTTGAAGTTTCGTCACCGCTCACTCAAACCGCAAATCAATGCCAATGAATCAATCGCCTGTCCTCTGCTGCGCGTGTTTATGCTCTGAGCGCGTGCGCAGGCTGCGGCGTGGCGAACGAGGCGCGCATCGTGGGCGGCCAGGAGACCGACGAGCACGAGTTCCCGTGGATGGTGCGCCTGTCGTACTTCAACCGCTTCTACTGCGGCGGCACGCTCATCAACGACCGCTACGTGCTGACGGCGGCGCACTGCGTCAAAGGGTGAGTCCGCCCCACGCCCCGGCTCCACGCCGCGCACTGGCCGACGCAGTAGAGAGAAGAGAAATACAGTAGATAAACAAACACGAGCAAACACGAGCAAAAACAAACAAGCAAAAAAACAAAAACAAGCAAAAAAACAAAAACAAGCAAAAAAACAAAAACAAGTAAACAAACAAAAACAAAAAGCAAAAAAAACAAAAACAAGCAAACAAACAAAAACAAAAAGCAAAAAAAACAAAAACAAGCAAACAAACAAAAACAAAAAGCAAAAAAACAAAAACAAGCAAACAAAAACAAGCAAACAAAAACAAAAAGCAAAAAAAAACAAAAACAAGCAAACAAACAAAAACAAAAAGCAAAAAAAACAAAAACAAAAAGCAAAAAAAACAAAAACAAAAAGCAAAAAAAAAACAAAAACAAAAAGCAAAAAAAACAAAAACAAAAAGCAAAAAAAAACAAAAACAAGCAAAAAAACAAAAACAAGCAAAAAAACAAAAAAAAACAAAAACAAGCAAAAAAACAAAAACAAGCAAAAAAACAAAAACAAGCAAAAAAACAAAA